GAAGGTGGAGAAATGAGACTGCAAAAGGTCAGAAATGGCTCATGTCCCAGTTTTCGAAGACCAACAGAATTGATGATCGAATACCTGAAAACTGCATCAGACAAGTTTGCCCTGGAATAGAAGATGATATTTCTTTCAAAGCTGATCTGAAAAGTGAAAAATGTATTTTGATCTAAATTAATTGCATCACAAGCACATATACAACTTCGCTCAGTTATGATCCTAGATTTGAAGTTTGTTTTCATACTTATTTGTTGAGTAGATTAGCTAATGCCCAACTTTCGATCAACCACCAAAACAAAAAATTATAAGAAGGCAAGGAATATAACCAAATCCCACCCCATTCAGATTACTCAGTACACATTTACATTCACCTGTAATCAGCTGTTACGAATTATTTTAAGGGAATGTTTTATTTACATTTAAATGAGGGTTTCATGTTTGCACCGAATTTTGGTTAATTTCATAAACAGCGGGCAGTTGATGAGTATTCATATTTATTAACCAATTAAATTTGAAACCATTTGAGGAGAATAAGTGAAAGAAAGAACCATGACTGACACTTCTGCAAATAAGTATAAGTAGGTTATGGTGAAATTGTCAATCTTAACTAATAAGGAACGTTACTAACCAACATGATCTTGGCATTCGCTCTTTCCTACCTCATGGTCATCCACTTCTCAGACGGTACATTTATCTCAAGCAGTTTATTAACTAAAATGTCATGTCAAATCAATTTTGATGAAATTTGCCAGAAAAAGTGTAGCCATACATAAAACTGGTTTATTGCCATACTACAACACTCAATATGTATAATATCAGTAGTACCTCAGTAAATAAATTCATACATTTAACTAATTAGAAAGATTTGCTTTAATTCCTTTTAGCAAGTAGTATTTGCCAATTGCCGTTAGAAAAAGGACCTTGTCGTTCTGCTCAATTAAAATGGGGCTTTAGTTCTGGCGATGGAAAGTGCAAGACGTTCATCTACGGAGGCTGCGACGGAAATGGTAATCGATTTTCGAGTAAAGAGGATTGTGAAAAAATTTGTGGTGGTTCAGGTAATTGAAATTATATTCAAATTGAATCTATGTAAATATCTTATTCTATGCTCAATTAGTAAATTAAATATTACGATTGTCAGATTTGTAAAGCAAGAAGTGTTCTGAATTATTTCACGATTTCTCGAGCTAATAGAATATCAGGTCCATTTTACTTCGCAACTCGTTCAAAATGTTTTCGAGTGATTATCATCCTCTGAATATGTTGATGCTAAGTACCACAATCGAAAATATGTCTAATTTGGGCAAAATGAACTTTAAATATTTTACAATTTCACAACTTTTATTTCTTGCAACTTTTCGATTTTTGTACCACAGTCAATAGTGTATCATGAGCAAATATTAAATACTAAGAAAGAGTCTCTGCAACTAATTGGGGAAATCAAATTTGAGCATTGCAATTCCGATGGTTTAAAACACCGATACGTCGATTAATCGAGAACAAAGCACTAGTTCTCACAGATAAGGAGGAAACGTGTTAAAAGCCATAGGTATGTTGGAGGAAGGCATTATAATTTCAATCGAAATTTAATGACTTTTTCATTCATGGTCATTGCTTTATCCAATAATTCGATAAGGGCTCAAAAATGTCCCTATAATAGATAATTTCATGAACTGAGTACAAACCGAAATCTACGTTTCAAAAACCTCAACTGTCCAACCAATATTCCCCATCACTTATGTTTCTGCGAAATAAGACAGTACGATATTGAAAGTTGATGTTACTAATGCTATGATGCATATACCCATCAAATTCTACTGTACTTGACTCCAAAGAAAGGTTGATAGATAAAAAAGAAAGACATTTGAAATAGAATTGTGACAGATTGTGAGAATTGTTTAAAATTCAAAGAACCTAACCGAATTCTACCATTTACGATACATGAAGTATGCATGTGGGGATGGCTTAAGGTACCAATTCGTCTCAACAAACGAGCAGACGGAAAGTAGATTTTATCCGCACTATAATATATTGATCTCACTTTAGTGTCTTCTTGTTTGTCAGGAGGATCAGGAGGACGTAGACCTCGAGACCTCTCTCGTGGTCCCCAGCATCGGCCCCCTAGCCGGCCCCGACGCCCAAAGACCAATTGATAGTGCAGCAACAAAGTTGCTGAGTGGAACTTAGGCTTCTCTATTCCCTGCACTTTATTTACAATCAAATTTATGTATTTCTAAATATCCTTTAACTGCTCTCTTTTAAAATCCAATTCTTAACTATTTATAGCATCTAAAAATTCAGCCTCATGATAAGGCATTGTGATAAGATACCATAGTGTTTTGGCCTCCTGTTAGAAGTGGAATTTCCTCTTCGAAACGAGGTGCCCGTTGGTCACTTTTTTATGACAAAATAATGTATTCACATCGTTTCCTCTAACTTGATATTGAAATATGTTATCACCACGGAAATATCGTAAATCATAGTGCAACACTTATATTCATTGCGCAACTAGTTAGTAGGAATTTAATAATCATGAAGGAAGAGGAAATCGGGTTTGCTGCAAATGACGAATGCTCTCTGAATAAGGAACGAAAGTAATTAACTGCTATTGATGATCTTCACTTATGAAGAAGTTTCCTTTAAAAAACTATCGCCAACACAAAGGAACTTCAATATGTAATATCACTGAATTCACGACCATTCTAGTTAATGGCCTTTTGTTGCTTCTTAATTGACACACATTCGCACCGACATTCAATTGCTTCTCTTAACTCTGTGTTGAAATACAATGATTAAGTTCTTATTTTCTAACAATCATTTTGAAAACTTTTCACTAAAATGCACGATAATATTTCATATTTCCTTCGCGGAAAGATGCCACTTTAAGTTGGAATAGTATAGAATAGAAAATATTGAATACTTTTAAGGGAGCATATGGTCTTTTTATGTTCCACCACCAACTCTATTCACCAATAGCTGATATCTGATCTCGAGTTCTGCCCCCTCCCCCCGACCAGATGATAATCGAATTTTCAATCGAATGTGCATCTTCTGCTGTTTCACACCTATGAGGCTCTATTTGTGGCGGGTCGCATACTCCTATTCGTCCTCCCATGTTGATATACTGCTACCTTGTGAACATCGAGTTACCATTAGCCTGCGTTTGCTATGCAATACTTTAAATCATGCATCAATTTACATTAGTAAATTAGCAATCGCCTTTTTCAGGGCATTAAATTAACTAATCAAAGTATTTCCGCATTGCGCTCATTGCCTAGCCAACCCTAGATCATAAGGCATATTATTCACTATTCACACTATTCATGCGTCTTTCAAGTCACCAGGATGAACAATGCAAAGACTATGCAATAAGATGTATGCTGTATGGTTAAAATTTTTTAATCTTTCACTTTTGCCAATGAAATAGACTTCCTTCTTAACCCGAAACCTTTTACAGATCTAAATATTTGCAGTTTTTACACATAATAAACACGCCAATCTCGGATCACTAATTTTTACATGATTTAGGGGAACTAGATATGAATTTTTCATGCGAATAATTGATTTCAACTTCAGCTTGAATAACGAAAAAAACAATCATCGATATATTTGAAACTAGTTTTCTCTATATTTTGAGATTCAAAATGTAAAAATTGACCTAGGTCTTGTTATCCTGAAAATAAGTACTGGCAATTGCACGGATAGGGGTGGAAATGCCTCGAACGCCTCACTGTTCGCATATTTCAATATGGTAACAAAACGAAGTTGAAATGAGAATGAAGAAGAGCAGGCAAATATCTCAGTGGCAACAAATCTAATGCAATTCTTATCCTTTTGACATTTACCACAAATCAAGGTTCCTGATTTTAAGGCGTTGAGGGTGTTGAGCTGAGCTGGCCTACCACGTAATGTGAAGAGATTCAGTTGCTATCATTTGTGCCAATAGGAGAACACAGATGGAGAGTGAGAAGCTTCAAATAGTGTGGCAAGCGACCACGATGCAATGTTGCGTAGAAGGAAGGAACCTAATCTGGAACACTTCTGTGGCGTTTTAGAAATCGTGATTTGTTCTAGATTTCCACCATGGCAATGGTATCATGTGAAAAGATTCAGTTGATATCATTTATATCAATAGGAGCGCATAGTTAGTGAATGTGAAATTGAAAACAACATGATCAACGACCACAATGAAATGAGATGTAGACGGAACAAACTTAAATTTGAAAATATCTGCCGCGTTTCATAAATTTGTACTTGTACTAGATTTTCACGTGGGAACGGGAACTTGTGCTTCATCTTCTACTGGTTGACATAGACTATCGAAGATACAAAGCTGTCATTCGATCTCGGCATTTAAATGGTCAGCTTCTTCCTAGGAGCTTAATATTTCACTCGTCTTCCACTGTCGACTATTATAGGAGGATGACTTTGATTTTGAAGCAGAATTTGTGAAGTTGGAAAATATTAAAATGTTTGCACCACTCCAATTGAACATCATTTTGATATTGTATTAAGCATCAAAGAATGCGCCAACTGTTGAACCATGTTGAGACCAATTAAGTCATTTCCATTGTCAAGTATTTTAAATGAGTCGTGAAATGACATTCTAACAGTTCTAATAAACAGGAAACAACTTGAAATACTTCGTTTTTCATAAAGTAGTCAAGTGTGTTTCCCATTTTAGACATTAAGTGCAAACTAACTCTCCTATTAACAATGATTGAAACGAACATTACCATCTATCCGGCCTCTTCTCAATTCATGTTGGATAGGATAGCCTCTGAACAAGGATTTTCATTATACTTTATTGCCAGATTATATGGTTGCTTGGCAATATTCTTTTTTAAAAGGCAAATAACAAATGCCACTACGCGATATAAAGAATATAAGCCTCCCTTTTTCCATTTGATGAACTTAGGAATTGCACAATGTTGAAAACAAAATACTGTTGGATCACAGATAAGGTATCGCTGTACTTCATGTGATCAAATTCAACAATTACGGTTAGGAAGGTTGTTTCATTGAAAATCATGATCACTGTAAAGGTACCATTAGTTATGGATAGCATACCTTAAAGTTCTCTTTGTAATTAAATATTTCTTTTCTATTCAAGTTAAGAGGTGTCTTTTTTGCTGACTCAATAACCCAACTGAGCATTCCAGTAAATCATGTTCTATCTACGGTTACATTTATATTTGGAAAAGGTTGATTATGCTTGAAGTGGATTGTAGAAACTAGCGAATGTTTTTTTTCATGTTGATTGATGAATTGTGTAGATGATTCCAAGGCACAAATTCCACCTGGATCATTTACACTCAGTTTCTGAAAAGCTTTATTCATTTCA